AGTCAATGGGGAAAAAAGGGGGACATCTGCAATACTTTCAACAATAAAACTAAATTAAAAACAAAAATAAAAGAATGAGATATTACTACGAACCAGTAAGAGCTCACCAAGAAGAAGTCCTATCCTCAGATTCTGGCTCCAGATTGATAACTAGGATGTCTGGATTAGTAGATCAGGAGAATATAAAAGCTATGTGAATTTCCTGATATATTTTCTTCTGTGATCATGTGGGGGCTCCAGTTGGAGAAAGTGTAATGAAAGTAAGGCAACGTAGACTAACAACTGGTTAAAAAGGTATGTTTCCAATGGTGATTATCAGAAGATCAGCATCGCTAGGAAACAGCCCCACATGAATTTCCACAGGGATTTTGTTTGGGGGAATATATTATCATATATATATTCCAAATATAGGAAAAAGAATTATTAAATGTGCATGTGACAAACTCTTGAAAAACATTGTTGACAAGATTAATGAAGGTACCAATTTTCAAATTTTACAAAGTTATATACTGTACTGAATGCATCAGAATAAAATGGGTTCCCTGACCATGAAGTCAGGATGGGCAGGATGGCTGTCTGACTTGGTGACAGCTCATGTGAAAAGACTTGGGGCCACCTGTGGGCAAAGCTCAATATTAGAAGTCACTCAGACTTTAGTGTGGGCTCAGCTGCCTCTTACTACTCGTTGCATGATGTTGAGCAAGTTGCTTAACCATTTTGAACTTCAATTTCCTCTCTTTAAATGTGAATACTAATCAATAGCAAACAAATTGAATTTAGGGAAGCATGATAGTTTTGTGACATTAACTTTTTAAAAAGTTTGTCTTTATTGCTGAAAATATTACAGATGTCCCCCTTTTCCCACATTGACTCCCCACCCCCCTGCCCCTCCTGCACCTGGCCTTCACCACACTGTTGTCTGTATCCATGGGTTATGAATATATGCATACAATTTCTTTGGTTAATCTCTCCCCGCCCCCTGCCCCACCCCCACCTTCCCTCTGAGACTCGTTAGTCTGTTCCATGCTTCTATATCTCTGGATCTATTTTGTTTATCAGTTTATTTTGTTCTTTAGATATTCCTTTTCTCCTGGGGAGAGTATAGGAATTGGATTAAGACAGAATGAGAGGTTGAAACAGAGATTGGGTTGAATTATTTACAAATTAAGATGTATGTCTTGAACAACTTGATCTGTAGAATAAATTTATACACTCCTGGCACATAGTAGAAGATCAATATAACAAAAGCTACATCTATTCCTACTGTAAATATTTTATGTGGCTATTTGAAAGGTCAGTATTAACTTTTATTTACACAAGAGTAATATCCAGTTTAAGAAAGGTAAGGATCCCACTGTTACCAAGGTGTGGAATCCACTTTGAGGATGTTGTCAAGAGGGCTGGTATTGGGTCATGGGTGGATAGGGAAGGGTGAATCACATGTGTGGGGAGGAGCCAGGCACTGAACAGTTAAAACAACTAGGGCTGTGAAAACTGAAAAAGGAAAGGCCGAGAAGAGAGATGATTGCTGTCTTCAGATATTTGAAAGGCTTTTTTGTGGAAGATAGAATGTCCTTGTTCTGAATGGAAGTTGAGGACATGAATGTCTGATTCAATCAACAGAAAGGAAGTTTCTCATAGTTGAGTGTTCATCAATGTTAAGGATTCAAACAGATGATGTTCAATATTCACTTTGTCCGGAATGTTGTCAGGGGATTCCTGTAGGCAGAGGAATGTGGTCCTGGCTCTTTCAGTTTTAGAATGATATGCGGGGCAGGAGAAGGCAAACAATATTGCCAAGTTCCAGGAAACAAGCTGGGTGCTCTGTACCATTAGCTCACTGAATCTGCCTGTTGGCCTATGAGTTGAACTTTATAATATTTTTATAAATTAGATTACATAGTTGACATAGTAAAATGCCAGAGTTCACAGTGCTGGTTAATTTTTGAACACAGGATGTTGCATTAAAGGACCATGTAGTTTTCTTTACATGTTCCACTTCCCTAACATACTACGTCAAAGAAAAAAACAAAAGTATCAAAATACATAGAGATTACTAATGTACTGACCAATGACAGCAAAGACCCTTTGAACGATTTAGCTATGATTCATGGAATTGTATAGAAATATCAGTACATAAATTCATGAACATTTAACATATAATAGCACAGGTAAGTATACTATTCATCTTTTAGATAGACATATTACAGTGATGGCTAATTTTATGTGTCCACTTGGCTGGGCCAGTGTCCGAATATTTGGTCAAACATTATTTTGGATGGCACCAAAGAAGTGTTTCTGAATGAGATTAACATTTAAATTGGGGGACTTTGAATGAAGCAGATTGCTTCCCATTATGTGGCTTAGCCTCATTCAATCAATTGAAGGCCAAAATAGAGCAAAGATTGACTGCCTGCAAGCAAGAAGGAATTCTGCCAGCAGACTGCCTTTGGACTTGGCCTTCAACTCTTGCCTGAGTCTCCAGGCTGCTGGCCTCCTCTGCAGATTTTGGATTTGCATCTCCGCAATCATGTGAGCTGATTCCTCAAAGGTTTCTCTCTACATACATATACACATCCTGTTGGCTCTATTTCTTTGGTGAACCCTGAGTAATACAGTATTTATATTTCTTTGTTTGTCCTTAAGTGTCCTGGTTTCTTCTAACCTTAACATTCTGTGTGGAACCACTACATGAATGGACTTGGAAGCAGATGCCTCCCCAGTCAAGCTTTCAGATAAGACCTCAGCATTAGCTAACACCTTCTTTGCAGTCTTGTGAGAGACAGTGCACTAAGCTGTGCTCAGATCCCTAAACCTAAGAACTGTGAAGTAATGTTTTTGCTTTAAAAAAAAAAAGTCTATGTGTGGAACTTAAATCTCCTTGAGACAATCTGGTGTAATAGACACTGGTGTGAAGTGCAAGTTTGTAGGTGATTTGTGCAGATCTCACATCTCTGAGTCTCATTTCCCTATCTGTAATATGAGAGGACCTTCAGTTTCCCTTAAGTGCTACAATTCAATGTCTCTATTAATCACATTGTTTATTTGTCAAAATAAATACTGATAAAAGTCACAAGAAGAACACACCCTGGATTTTCAAGCCTCTGGATGTGGTGGCAGTGCTCCAGCTTCCTTTCTGCACAGAGCTGTGCTCAAGTGCCGCTCTACCTCTTTTGTTCCACCCAACAGTTCTCTATCACTAGCCTATCAACATTAAGTATTTGGGGGCACTTTTGTGTGTGGCCTGTGCATGTATGTGTGTACCTGTACGCATGTTCACAGTTCAAGCTGGGCTGCTCTGGCTCTGAACATATATACATTTCTGGTTCATAGTAATGTCTCTAGCATTTTGTGGATTAACTCTGCCAGTACACAAGGGGAAGGGAACGTCTTCCCCAGTGTGACCAGTGTGAATCCTTTTTCTCTCTTCTAATCTTCAGGAAGGTCCAGGTCCCTTTGCCAAGCAGATGGCTTTAGGGGAGCACTAGAGTCCAGGCGGTGGACTTTTCCCAATGAGTAACTAGATTTGCATTTGCAAATCAATGGTCCTGGAAAAAATGTTATATAAACATCTTCCCAGGCCCTTGTTAATACCCCTTCTCCTTCTCCTTCCCCTTCCCCTTCCTGATTTTGAAAGAAAGCATGACTTATTCAGCCTTATCCCCAACCCCCAGTAAAACAGCTGTGTGTGCACTCAGGCAGCAGGGTTCCAGGCCAAATTGTGGACCAGGCAGTTTGTCACTAGTCCTGCCAAATTTGGCTTTCCCACTCTCAGACCCTTGAGGCTGTTACCACATGACAGCAATATGCCCCCCCTCCCCCAAGTTCTTTCTACAAGGGATTTGAATAATTCAAATCAAGGGCAATGACAAAGGTTTAAAGCTTTACCATTCCCTAAGGGTATTCAGATGCATTTAAACAGAAGACAAAATTCTAAGCTAAAAGTATGAATCCTCTGTTTGAGCCACTACATAGAGGCGTCAACAAGTCAGTGGGCCTATTTCTGTGGTGTGTGCAGTGGTGGTGGCGGGCACAGGTACACTGAAATGGCTGCCTGCTAAGCCACTTCTTAAAGCTGGTCTTCATTCTTGGTTGGAGAGGGGAGTGTTGGGGTACTCAACCCCTCTGTCCCCCTATCCCCTCAGAGACCAAGAGATGTGATGATGGTCTAGTGTGGCTGAGCGTGCTCTGAAGACAGATGGATTCTCCACTTCTGAAAGAGAGGGGAGAGAGAGAGGAAAGGCCAGAGGAGAGAGGAGAGGAGGGGAAGGAGAGGAGAGGAGAGGAAAAGGGGAAGAGCAGAAAAGGAAGGGTCAAAACAGTAAAAGAGAAGCTGGGCAGTGGCCTGGGGCTAGGCAGAGAGGTCCCCAGGGCTGACTTGGGTGGGCTGGGCGCAGCACCCCGGGCAGGGAGGAGATGCCCGCATCGCCGCCTGCAATCCGAGCTTCTCAGTTCTTGCAAGGAGGGTCTCCTGGATTCAGGGCTCCCGGCTTTCGGGTGACCACCGGTCCGTCCC